AGTTTAGTTTAGTCTAGTCTAGTTTAGTTAGTTAGTTTGTTATTTAGTTAGTAGGCAAGTGACTAAGTTTAGTTAGTTAGTTAGATAGTTGGTTAGTTAGCTGGTTAGTTGGTTAGTTGCTTAGCAGTAGTTAGTTGGTAGTGATTAGTCAGGACTAGTTTGTAGTAGTAGTAGCAGTAGCAGTAGCAGCAGCAGTAGTAGTAGTAGTAGTAGTAGTGGTGGTAGTAGTGGTAGTGGTAGTGGTAGTGGTAGTCGTAGTAGTAGTAGTAGTAGTGGTAGTGGTAGTGGTAGTGGTAGTCGTAGTAGTAGTAGTAGTAGCAGTAGTAGTAGTAGTAGTAGGAGTAGCAGTAGGAGTTAGAAGTTAGTAGTTCGTAGTTAGTAGTTAGCAGTTAGTAGACAGTAGTTAGCACGTAGTAGTTAGTAGCTAGTAGTAGTTTGTAGTTAGTAGTAGTTAGTAGTATTTGTATTAGTATTAGTAGTAATAGTAGTCGTAGCAGCAGTTGTTGTTGTTGTTGTTGTTGTTGTAGAAAATAGTAGTAGCAGTAGTGATAGTAGTAGTGGTAGTGGTAGTGGTAAAGGTAGTGGTGGTAGTAGTAGTAGTAGTAGTAGTGACGTGGTGGCGGTAGTGGTAAGACTAGTTTCACAACCCCGCCACGAAATCTACATTTCAAAAAGTGCTGCGGCCGCCACGAAGTCTGCGCTTCAAGGGTGACAAAGCACTTCCTGCCACCAAAAAAAGGCGGAGTCTGTAGACGCCGCTTTTTCGAGACTTCCTCCAAAAACGAAAGTTGGAGAGCACGATTCCATGGGATTTGCCAGAAAAATGCCAGTCAGATTGTCGACAACACCGGGGTAGTCACCACACGCGACCTCGATCTAGACACCTAGTCATTACTGTAGGAACGCCTAGCGTGACCACACTGCTGGGGAAAATGCTCACGTAGTAGGTCTTGCGTGGCGTGCCAAAGAGAGTTGAAACCGGAAGTCACATTGGGGCTAGCTGTTTGCTGTCACACGTCTGTCGAAAGAAGAAGCAAGCGGAACAACATTCCCACCTTCACCCTGTGCAAAAGAGGCCTCCCAGAAACTGACGCGACACCCAAGACACGAGTCGGGATGCGCTGGGGAACACATCTTCTTTGTGAGACAGCAACGCTGACAAGTGGATGAATTCTTCAAATGGCTGCAGTCACTCACATAAGGAGTGTTCGCACTTTGCTTTCTTTCAGCCCTTCAGTTCTTAGCTGTCGAAGTTGAGATGTTTCCGTCTTTCGAAGGTTTAGCTTCATCTGGCCATGGGTGGGGCTACCAGTGGAGCACCCGACACCTCCCAACCACTTGGTTTGCGCACTGGAGGTCGAATAGACCAGGTTGGTGGTACCTCGGAGCAGGTGGTGTCACGCAAAATCAAGCGTACCTAATGGGCCTGACCTGTCTTAAAACCATGCGGTCCAGCTGCTACATGGTTGTTATCTACTTCTCCATATGCTGAGCATTTTACGGGTCTCCTTAGTTGAGGCGTGCATAGTGGCCCTTCGCAGGTGTAGGTCCATTTGTCTCTCTGAGGTCGAGGCGTCCTTCAACATGCTATACGGGACAGGGGCTTCAGGTGTAGAACAACTCCACGGTGTATTGGGTGCGTTTGCTGCGTGGCTTTCGTTTTTGCAGCCACCCCTGAATCCATAGCTCATCGCAAAGTCGCTGCCGTCCCAAAAGCCTCCAAACACAGGTTTCTTTACGCCCAAGAACGCACCAATGTTGAACGTTGGAAGCTGACGGCCCACAGCCTCTGAAGGGTTCTGACATGATGCAGGTTTTGCACAACAAGTGCCATCCAGAACTGGATGCTCATAGTTTGCGTCTTGGAGGCCTCGCTAGACATGCTTTCAGAGCAGCCACCCTGCTTTAGGACGGCCGCCTGCCAGAGTGCATGCGACTGAAGATCTACTTTTGGCCCTAGCACTTGTAACGGCGCGACACCTTGCCGTAGCTGGTGTTTGCTGGTGGGCTGTACAGCTGCGGCCAAGTGAAAGCCATGTGACTCACGGCCCCATGTTGGGGCTTGCTGATTCGGAAGAAGGAAGAAGCCATCTGCAAAGAAGGGGGGCTCACCCATGGAGGGAATAAGAATCACCTGATCCGCAGAACCAAGCATTTGACCATCTCCCTCGTATCCTGCCAGGCGAACAGAACGGAGCGCGTGCACCGTGACTCGTGAGACTGGCAAGAGTGAAAGACTGCATGTTTGCGTATATGGAGTCAAGAATGCTCCTGTAGCACCAGTGCGAGAGACCTGTGTGTTCTCCCCGGAAGTATCTTGAAGTTAAGTTTCCCTAAAAATCTAGGAACCAATCATTCGTGCCGGCGCTCAGGCAGGGAGAGCTTCCTCGAAGAAGCGTGAGCTATCCTGCGTCCTAGCTAGGAGCGTCCCATTGCTAGTAGTCTACCTCCTTACTTAATCAAGTAGGCGCCTACTTAATTAAGTAGGGAGGCAGGGCCATGGGCTTTGAACACAGTTTTCCTTCAGTTTGCATACCCTCTGTGAAGCCAAGGAACGTCTAAAGTATCTGCAGAACGTCTAAAGCTTTCCAAGTCGTGTAGAAACCCGAACGCTTTCATCACAAGTCCTTCGTTTCGACATAGCACATCCTACTGGCATGATATGTGTTTGCTCTTATGAGGATAGGAAGACCCTCTGGCTTCGCGTGGCAACGATCCTCTCGCTTCGGTTCACATCGGGGCTGGAAGAAGGTCCCGAACGCCGCTGCGCCGTTCGAACGTCGCTTCCAAAGAAAGGATGACCTGTTCGAACGTCGCTTCATGACATTTCTTGCGGTAAAACATGTAAAAATCATGTTTTGGACCGGGATTACCATTAAAATGGTGGGCCAGGAAGCCTAGGCCGGCCAACCGGTCCATCCTGCCTACGAATCAACAAGCAATGGGAGTCGCAAAGATGTGTGGTTTGGTGGGAATCCTACCACCAGGCGTTTTCTGGACCTCTTGGGATGATTTTCCTGTCGCTGGGTACGCAACCTGTCGACAGACCATGTCACACGATTCCCTGCATGGGTAAGGGACGTCCCTCGTCGTCGTCTCCTTGTTTCCATCACGCTCGTTTTGCACCGATCTAACTAGTAGCAAATAACTACTAGGAGCAAGGCACCTTACTACTGGTAGCAAGAAGCTAAACAAGCATTTTCACAATACCTCACAGCACAAAGGAGCCGTCCGAAGGAAACCACAACCCCCCCACTTGGTCGTGCGAGTTTCGACCAAATCCGGTGAGAAGTCCTGGTGTCGAGCAGACTCTGGCATTGGTTTTTTGGAGAACTTACACCAAACAATTTTTTAGGATCGGTGACCATCTGCGACCATTGCGACATATTGTGGCATATTGCAACATATTTCTGCAACTATGATCCTACTGCTTCTTGCTAGATGTGCCATCTTCCTCTCAAAACACATCCGATGTGGAGCCCAACTCTGGCATTCCTCCCTGACTGGTGCTGGGATCCCTCTCCCTCAGCAAAACAAACATCTCCAATCTTGTGGTCCCCCACGAGATTTGATCCACACATTTGCTGGGCACACTCTTCTATCTCCACCCACTTCTGTCTATCAGAGGGTCACATGACTTCTTCATGCTTTTCTTCGGCAGATCATCCCGATCCGGCTGTCGCATCCAAACACCGGTCTTCTTCGATCCAGTTCACAGGAAACGCCGCCATCCGGCCCCCCCGTCTCCGCACCACGGCGTCTCGGCGCCCGGACTGCCGAGGGAGTCGCCTGCAAACGCGCCGCCGAACGTCGAACGGGGTGGGAACGCGCGTGGAGATGGCCAGTCTGGTGCCAGTCTGGCACGTGCCCGGTGGTGTTCGCCGGATCGTGGATTTGAGTGAAAAAAGACAATTCCCCCCAAAGAAGGTTGCCCCACTGGCCAGGACCTGAAAATTTTAAGGCCAACCGGGTCGAAATTGCTTTGAAGGCCATGTTTCTTTTTTCGCCCACTTGAAGTGACCTTCGTTCGCTTTTTGGCACCGGCTCGATCTTGGGGGTTCGTGGACCGGACATCCGGACAGCGCCGAAACACGGCCATGACCGTGGCCTCTGCGCACGGCCAAGTGGTCATTCCAGTCTCACATGACCAACACCCTGCCATCCAGCCATCCACACCCAGGCTTGCACTATCAGATCTCGAGAGTGCCCATCCCCTGCCATCCACACCCACCGCCGACTCCATGGGCTGAAATAAAACATGAAAAAAATAGACCACACACACGTGGGAAAGCACCGATACGGTTTCCCTTTGAAACATCGTGTCTTGAGACGTGTTCCTGTCCTCCCGCTCCCTCATCCTCCCCCAAAAGGGTCCTCCAAACCAGACGATTCACTGAGCGATCCGCACGAACGCCCGCACGAGTGCGACCCGCACGATGCGCTCGCACCTGTGCGTTCCGTCGACAGCGTGGGCAGCGTGACGGGCGCCGCGACCACTGGCGCCACGGGCGCCGTCAGCGAAACGGGCACCGACCACGAGCCGGTGCCTGCGGTGTGGGCGGTGTGGGCGGGTGTGGAGTCCGGCGCAGTTCAGCGTTGGGATTTAGGAAGAGTTGGGTGCAAAGAAAAGGGTATGGTTTTAATTGCTCTAGTAGCGTAGTAGCGTCCTTGAGTTTCCCTACTCGTAGATCCGGTCTGGGTCGGGTCTGGATTGTGGATTGCGGATCTAGTGAGACCTTCGGAACCCAGTTGGAGTCGGCTTAGATGCGCACATTCACGGCCAAGTTGCTGGCTTGAACGACTGGTTTGTCTGCACCCACAGAGAAAAACAACACCCGGCCCCTTGCCAGACTTCCCCAGTGTTCATAAGAACGTGTTCATCAGTAGGCAATGGTACTTTCACAGAAGTAGAAGCAAATTCCACCACCTTTGGATGGCCCATGAGACAACCCCTCTGACCGGATCGGTCTTTACGGCCATGGCACTGGGAGAGTTTGGGAGAGATCACCGAAACATGCACAGAAATAGACGACGAAACATGGTCCCAAATAGATAGACACGTTCTCCAATTTGTGGGGGTCGACTTTTCGACCTATTTGGGAATGGATACCCTAGAAGTCAAAATACCATTGTTTTAATAGCCTTTACTGAACCAGATCAACCATTCATTTAAACACTTGTCTTTGACTTCCGGGGTATATACATGGTCAACCTACCAGGTGGATCCGGGATTTGACCCACCAGCCGTCATCCACGGTTGCTGCTCGGCTAGACCTCCACCCCCTCACCCGCCTGTCGGTCGGCCCACATTGGCCGGAACCGTTGCCCGGTTGGCCCGGCCGCTGGTTCCTCGGTCTAGCCACGGCCACTAGCAAATGGAACCGTTCGCCATGGCCTCCACCCTACAAGTACTAGCGATGACCTCCAACCACTACTAGCCAGCAGTTTCATGGAGGCCAGGGTGCCATGCCTTGGAGGAACGAACCAAAGCCAGGTACCCCTAATGCATCGCATCCACAAACGAGCCCGACGCTGCACCGAGGCTCGCCGAGCTCTGTAACTCATGGGGGTTCGGGGGCTCAGAGAAGTACACGCGTGGCATGCTGTGTCCCAAGAGTCAGCTTGGGATCTTCTGGATCTTCTTCTTGTGCATCCCACGACGGATGATTCTGGTTTTCTCCCTAGTTTTTAGACCATGTGGCCAAAGGAGCACCATCACAACATCACGAAACAACGAAAAACACTCTGCTCCCCCCAAGCAGATCTGCCGTTTGGACTGAGCCTTCCGGCCTAAGACCCATGGGGCCGATTCACCCAGCTGCATCTTCACATCCGTCGGTAAACCTCGGTCAACCGTGCCGGTCACCGACGAGTCATGGGATGAGACTGGTCACCGGTTCGGGGGAGGTTTCCCGGCGGAAACCGTTCGGGTTGTTCCAATACCCATACACGACCTGTCTGGGACTGCCATAGGACTGCCTCCCCCAGACAGACCCCGCCTGGCACCACTCCAACTGATCGGCATAGATTCCAGTCCCATGTGTCGTGTATGAGATTTGGCACAACCTGAACTCTTTGACGGACAATGGCTGGGACTGGGTGTTCGTTCCATCCAGAACTGTTTCGTTCCATCGGGGCGGGGGAACCCAGTGCTGAGGGCGTCACGTCTTCGCGGGGAAGCTTGGCTGATGAAGTCATCGTGGCAGGTAGTAGCGATGCCCTTTGTTACTAGTAGCTTCTTGCTGCTAGTAGTATGGCCAGGAGCCCCTATAGTAGCTTCTTGCTACTAGAAGCAAGAATGCTCCGTTCGTAGCGATGCCAGGAGCCCCGTTTGAGTCGCGTCCGATCGCGAACCGTTCGTGTCGCGAATGCCCTTGGTGACGTTCGTAGCGACAGGTGACAGGTCTCTTCGTGACAGGTCCCGGAACATCGGCGTTACCCTCCCTCCAACAAGCGACATGACGAGAATTCCCCTGGTTTGAGGAAAACCTCTTTCGAGGACACCGTGCCATCCACTTCTGTTTCAGAAGAACGAACGAGAGCGTCAGGCCGTCATGCCAAGCAAGCCTGGGGCTGGGCCTGGGCGGCCTTGGGCTGAGGTCGCTTCGGTGCGGGGCCTGAGCACATGGATAACTGTTTTTTTTTGAAGACGATCCCATGTCTTTTAAACAGACCTGGACCCTCAAAGTACTCCTAGAAATGGGTACAAGTCGGTACCAAGTACCTGTCTTACTAGCTCTAATTACACCACTTTTCTTCGGGTCCAGAAGCTGGCTTGCCAACAAGGCGCTGGAAAACGCGTCCATCGTCACCCGGCGCTCCCAAAACGCAACGTGAGCGGCCGGGTCGAGCCAGACGTCTCGGGCCGGGAAGCTCGGCGGTTGAAGGAGAGAATGAAGAAAGGGCAGGCGTACCACGCCAGTTCTGAGGAGCTACCAGTCATTTCAAATTTCCAATTCCGACCCGAACACACGTATCGTTTCGCTTCCTGATACATAGCTTCTGACGTGAATTGAGGCCATTTTGAGGCCTGCTTTCTCCCTGCGATACCAGTAAACTATCCGGACGGTTCTTGCCCTCGCGCAAGGAGCTTCCGACCAACACAACAGAAACCAAAGACCCCCAGAATCGCTAGACACGAGAATCAGGTCAAGAACGGACCTCATGTGGGTCTGGTGATGCAAAAACCTCCATCTCCCTCAGGTTTTCAGCTAGGTTCTACAACCGCTACGTCCCCCAAATCCATGAAGCAGTCTCCATTCATGCCCAAAGCCGCCGCTTAAGCCGAGCAGTCTCTGGTTGGCCAAGATCGACCCGGAGGGGTGCGGGACCAATCGACCGGTGAGGATCAAGTCCCCAGCTGGACATGAAGATCAACGTCTACCTATTCCTTTAAACCCACCATGTCCCGCTTTGGAACCCCTGTTCGGTCCAGGGACAAGCACCCTTCTTGGCCATTTCTTCTCGGCGAAAAACAACCATGGAGTAAACACTACCAGCACCATGGAGTTCAGGTGGAACAAAAAGCTACTAGTAACAAGTGCCTTAGTAGTAGTAACAAGGACGCTAGTAATAACAAAGGGCATCGCTACTAGGAGCAAGGACGCTACTAGTAGCTCCTGGACTTACTACTAGGAACAAGAAGCTATTAGGAACAAGTGCATCGCTACTAGGAACAAGAATACCAGCACCATGGAGTTCAGGTGGAGAGATTGGAAGGACCATATACCGATATCAGAGGTGTCGTTTCCCACTCACCCGAACTCCGTGGTGCTTAGCCGCTCGCTTGGAGGCCATCGCTATTGTGTTGTTTTTTTTAATTAACATATGTATATCTTTTCTCTCTTTTCTCTCTAGCTTGTTGTTCCTAGTAGTAAGGCCAGGAGCGTCCGATCGCTCCGTTCGTAGCGATGCCCTTTGTTCGTAGCTTTTTTTGTCCTCCTTTTTGTTTATGACTTCTCCCCGCAGCGAGGTTTCTCCTTTTTGGGGCGACGCGCGTGGTTTGTCGTCTCGTCACGCGTCGCGCTGGTGCAGCCAGCGAGGCCAGCCGGTCGCCTGGATGGGATGGCCAGGCGGTCGCCATGGGAGGCCAAAGGGCAGGAAGCAGGATGAAGCAGATGAACGCTGGTGGTCTGGTGTCAGCGGAAAATTTTCTATTTTTTCTTGAGAACGACGTAGTTCGATGAGGTACTCAATGGGGTTCAAAGCATGGGAGGTTTCTTATTGCGATTTTAGATGTGGTCAACGTTGAAGTGATCCCTTTCCATGGGAGGCCATGGGTGGTTTTGGCTTGCGGAACGGAACCACAAATCCAGTCACTCTCCGTTCAGTCAGACGGCCCGGTCACCAGCGGTTTCAGAGGTTCGATGGCACTGGCACCCCAAGATGACTTCAATGACTTCAACAAATGGGTTCCCCCCCCCAAATCCACCTTCAGCTTGGACATTTGTGCCAGTGCTCGTCCCCAGGACTCCAGGACTTGCCGTCCTTCCCCCGGAAGTCAGCTGGTCACAGCTCCAGGACCTCCAAAAAGGCATTGATTTCGACGAAGCAACGGCCGTCGGAAGAATCGAAGGAACCGTGGCGTTGCTCGCAACGCGGAAGGGCCGAAGTGGCCACCGGGGAAGAAACCACATGCCGAACCGGTCGGAGAGCGGACTTTCAAGAAAGACCCATCATGATCGGAGGAACTTGGATGACCACAAGGACTACAACAGGACTTCATTACGATGAACGATCACAACATGACCACAGTCGACCACAGTCGACCACAGTGACATTGGATGACCCAGATGATTCAAGACTGGATGGTGCTTTCAACAGGAACGAAACATATGGAGCTCAGTGGCTACAACTGGATGAACAACGTTGAACATCCAAACGTCACTCAGAAGATGATTGAGCTCAATCCCACCGCAACACAAGACGCTTCAGGGCAATACGGGTGACGGATGCCTCACCCCTCGAGCTTGCCTCTAATTCAGCTTCTTCTTCATCCAACTCTTCCTGGCAACGGCAGAAGAGCGAGCTCATGTCACGAGACTGGGCTCAGCTTGAAATCGTTCACGAACGAGTTCCTTCTGGCTGTTAGGATATCGGATGATTCCAGTTGATTAAACAAGGATCAGAAAGACTTATCCAAGTCCCCAACGAAACTGCTGCTGGGAACACGGACTTGGAAACACGACCGCGATCTAGCTGGTCCGCCTTGGATTCCTGTAAATGTGGCGTGGTGCTCCTCTTTAGAACGGAAGTTGCCCACTACTGAACAGCTAACGTGGCAAAGCATGGCAGCAACAAGGACCAACCGCTTGTACCGTCCAGGAAAGCATACCCTGGTGGGCAGCCCCGGCAAGTTTCACAGAACTGTAGTCTAACCCTAGGTTTCCAACTTTAATAGGCTTTACTGAACAACCATTGCTTTAGTAAGGTTCCTACACTACAAAACCAGATCAACCAGTTTTGTAAACAGTCTTGGAAGGTTAGGGCTATTTGGTTGCCATGGAAAAATAAGGGAGTAGTTTTTTTCTTTATGCTAACGGTTCTTTTTTTTATGCTGGATTTGGGTGGGTTCTTTTTTTATGCTAACGGTCTTTATTTTTATGCTGAGGGTTTTTATTTTTATGCTGAGGGTTTTTATTTTTATGCTGAGGGTTTTTGTTTTTATGCTAACGAATGTAACTGTCGCGGGGCTTTATTGGAAAATGTAATTGTCGCGGGGCTTTAGTGGAGAATGTAATTGTCGCGGGGCTTAGTGAAGAATGTAATTGTCGCGGGGCTTTATTGGAAGGGCGGCGGCTCATCTGCGCACACACATTTTGTTAGCACTTGCGCCTCATCTGCGCACACAGATTTGACTCATGCGCGCACACAGTCCATCGGGGAGACTCAAGTGCGCACACAGGCCCTTTCCCGCATGTTTGCTCACTTACAAGGGTCGTCAAGATGGAATGGCCACTTCCTCCTCTAAATCTTACCCCTCCAGTGGCTCACCAAAGGGTGAGTCAACTTGGAATGACCACTTCCTTCTCTAAATTTTACCCCTGCCTTGCCCACAAAAGGGTGAGTCAAGTTGAAATGGCAACATCTTTCTCTAAATTTTACCCTCGGGTGGCTCACCAAAGGGTGAGTCAACTTGGAAGAGCAACATCCCTCTCTAAATTTTACCCCTGCATGGCTCACAAAAGGGTGAGTCAAGTTGAAATGGCAACATCCTTCTCTAAATTTTCCCCCTGCATGGCCCACAAAAGGGTGAGTCAACTTGGCATGGCCACTTTCCTCTCTAAACTTTACCTCTGCATGGCCCACAAAAGGGTGAGTCAAGTCGGAGTGACCACTTCCTTCTCTAAACTTTACCCTGCCCACAAAAGGGTGAGTCAAGTTGAAATGGCAACATCCTTCTCTAAATTTTACCCACCCGAGGGTCACCAAAGGGTTCTCAAAATTCTACCCTGCCTACAAAAGGGTGAGTCAAGTTGAAATGGCGACATCCTTCTCTAAATTTTACCCTCGGGTGGCTCACCAAAGGGTAAGTCAACTTGGAAGGGCAACATCCTTCTCTAAATTTTACCCTGCCCACAAAAGGGTGAGTCAAGTTGAAATGGCAACATCCTTCTCTAAATTTTACCCTCGGGTGGCTCACCAAAGGGTGAGTCAACTTGGAAGGGCAACATCCTTCTCTAAAT